CTTTGATTGAATGATTTTTTAAAGTAAATTTGATCTTAATTTTATTAAGATTTAAATATTTGACATTTAACTTACCATTAACATCATTCTATTTTCCATTACAGCAAAAATGTCATCCCTAAACTGATATTCTCATTTGGTAATGAAATAAACCATGCCCTTGATCCGTTTCATCTGAATGGTGGGTCCATCAATAAGTTTGGAGTTCATTGATAATTTTAAAATGACATGAGATGGTCTTAAGTTTTTCATGATTTACCCCAAAATTATCAATGAAATGAAACCCCTGATGGAATTTAACATCAAATATGAGGTAGACTCTTAAACACTAAAAAAGAGAGCCATTAAGGTTGCCCCTACCTTAACTGCTACTACTACTACTATTGCTACTACTCCTAAAGTTATTCATTTTTATAACAAGATGGAAAATGACAAAACTTTAGAATTTTTTGAGGTTGCCCCTACCTTAACTGCTACTACTACTACTACTGCTACTACTCCTAAAGTTATTCATTTTTATATCAAGATGGAAAATGACAAAACTTTAGAACTTTTTCAAACTCATAAAAATCAGAAAGTAATGGGTGAAATTCTTAAAATACTGACAGTTTTTTAAGGTCGGTCGATCTTCCAAAATTACTGTTGTACTACCTAAAACCCAATGAAGAAATTAGGATAGAATGTTTTATACGAAGTCTATACGGGTTAGAAAATAAAAGGAATTGGTTTAAAATGAAAACTCCAAAGAAAATGAATCTGATCTGCTTGAAACCTCTCTTATCCTCTCCTGAGTTGGAGTGTGCTTCATTCACTCCCTGTAGTATAAGAGAAATAAATCTCATATAAGATAGTCGAGTCATTCTCATCTTTGTTTGAATATGAACCTTCTAACATAAGAAAGAAAAAAATTCTGTATAAACCGACTCCGTGGATTTTTTGAATGAATAACAAAAAAGGGAAAAGTGTGATGTTTCAGAAATCCTTAAAGCTAAAGGAGGTATCATATCTCTAAAGGAAAGGGGGAAGATTTTGCAACAACAGAGAATCCTATGACAGAATTAGGGATTTCAAGGGAATTCCTTTGTACAAATTAATAAAAAGAAAACTTGTCCTCACTATCCTAAGCATAAAATGGTTAGACGCTCTTTTAGGGGATCATGAAAGGGTGGCCTTCTTTAGCCAAAAATGGTATGGTGACATATACATGGATTTGGTTTCTCCCATGTGGCTTGGGTAAGGTTTCATGGCCAAGCAAGAAAACAAGTATGCTAGAAATTTTTCTAAGACTAATTGCCTCGGTCCCTGTAGGATCGACATTCCGAACTCAAAAATCCGATATTACTGATACGACACATGCACTTGCATTAGCCCCCAGAGTGTGAGTGCACTTGGAAGCGGTTTCAAGATATAATTAACTATGAGAGTTTTTGTTCGTAGGGATACTAGATATCATAATAAATAAATCCTATCATACCCCCCACCCTCCCGCGTGCTTAATATAACGAAAAACCCTGGGTCCACAGACCCAAAAGCATGAAGGTTTTTATGATTTGAATGATTAGATTTATTTTAAGATAATATTTTTATACCATAGAGTAGTATATTATTCTATGAATGACACATGCGATCATTTAGATAGAATTTTTTTGATATTTACGGTGAATATTCAAACTTGCACCCAAAAAATTCATCCACCGCCTCTATTCTCGACTCATCTCATAAAAAAAAACATCCTAAAAGAATTTGAAAAAACTATGTTAGTTATTTAGCATATTCATTTTATTTTCCTTTATTTTACTCTTTTCATCCTCATGCTCACCTTTATTTTTTAGGCTAAGGTAATATGCTGACTTTGTAAGAGAGATTAAATGAGAAGGGGAACTAAAAAATGAAACACAATAAATGAAGTAAAAGCTAAGACAAAACAAAATAAAATAAAATGCCATTGGAGCCACCACTTGAACCATAGATGATACAAAGTGAGACATGGCGGCAACAGTCAGCTCTTAAAGCCTATGTGACAAAGTGCTATATGGTGGAAGCCACATTTAAATCTTTATAAAATTGTGAGAATATTTGACTAAAATGGGCAATAACATGAGCATTGAGTGTCTGGTTTGTTTATATTGATTACTTACTTGAAGTTATCATTTGACAACCCTAATTATAATTATAATAGGTTAAACAAATATTAATTTTTTATAATAGTCTTTTCAATTGCGAAAAGTGAAACTTTATAACTACAATTACATAATGGATTGTTTTAACTAGACTAGGTTCTATGTTTTGTCCCCTTCCTGACTTTTCATTTAAACATATTACTATATATTATGACTTTTATCTATTTGTATATAGAACATTTATATTAAAATAAGGCATCATTTTTCCCTGCCATTAAAACTTTTATAGCTAACAACAAGTGTTAAGGAGATTAAAGTTTATTTAAGTATTATATTTTTAAATAAATGAGAATTTCAGGTTTAAATTACGTTATTTAAATGATATATTTTAAGTTATTATTTATTATTCATATTATATGTTTAAAACATGAGTGTCCGTTAATTTTTTTTATTTAATTAGACACACACATATGATAAGTTTGACACATAATAGGTGTTTGATGAACAAGTGCATTTTTTTAACATAACACACTTCAGTATTATAATGCCTCAACACATTATAAGTTGTTTCTCTTCACAATGATTTTAGGTCAATTTCATTAAACCACATTAAATTTTAATTCTATTTATTCTTTATCATTTTACCTTCATTCAAATATTTAATTTTACTCTTTAGTAGTAATAGTGATTTTTCTATCTCTTTAATGAACCTCGATGGAACTCTATATTCATTATCCTCTATTTTATTAAATTTGCAGCTAATTATATGCATTGATGTTGATAGATGGTAAGCATTGCTGTTGATGGATAACTAATGTATGCTATGATGCCTCAAATTCTGTGAAGTGTCATCAATCATGTAAGTATACATGCCAATCAAGTAATATATGGAACTAGAGTCCTTGTATTGATCCCATGAGAGACATGCTTACTTTTCATTCAAGTTAAAGTTCTAGTTTACTAATTATTAGCTTAACTTGCTTGAAAGGTCAAAGGTTGAGTGAATTTCAAAGTTACTAATATTAAACTTTGCTAAAAGAAAAATGTTAGTAAATATGGTGGAGGTTTCTATTAAGTTAAAAGCTATACCTTGGATTGAATTTTAGAAATCTTGGTTTAACTAAGTGATCATGATAAAGGCGATAAAGACCAATAATCTTCCTTCTTAGCCCCCTCTTTATAGTCTATAGAGGTTTGTAAAATTTCAATTTAGTTAAATAAATCTTAAGTATTTTCCCATGATTCTGAATTTTCCTTCGCAATTACACTGACATAGAAGTAATATTCCTTTTTTTTCTAAAATTTTGTATTAACTAATTGTTTCAATAGCATACGTTTAGAGTACTAGATTACAACATATTTTAACAAATTAACTGGTCAAGTTAAGAGTCAAAGGGATGCAACAATTTAAAATATCACCATTCAGAAAGTTTAATTCAATCACATAATAATGTTAAACTCTAGATTCCTCTACTGCAAATTCAAGGGGAAAAAATAGATATATGTTCTACTAATGCTTTGAAAACAAAAATATTATTTCATTAATTAAAGAGAATGAAATATAAAAGTTTTGAAAAGAGAGAATCCTATAGAGTACAACAATGCTACCATCTGACTTCCTTCTCCACAAAAACTGCAGAGTAACATGTAATTTCTCACTCATACCCTCACAAAACTTTCCTCTCTTTCTTTCAGACTTTCGAATTCACGTGATAGTCCAAAAAGACTACTAATTCTTTCTATTATATGAATTTAAGCTTTCATCTGAGAAACAATGTGAATTGAGACGTCAAAATCATAATCCCATGCATACGGGTGTTGGGCACCCAAGATTTGCTCCCATTATCTTGATCCTATTGATTTGGGCACTTGGGCACCTAGGACGGGCCCCTAGACACCTGGTCCTCTGGTTATGGGTGTCTTTGGTGCCTAACATCTTGGTGCTCTTAATCGAGGTGCTTGGGCACCGATTCAGTCCTTGGCACTTCAATTCAGCTTCTTTGCTCCCCAAGTTGCCTAATCTCATGTACACTGCATATAAAATCACAAATAACATGAAAAAGCCTAGAAATGACCAAAATGAAGGTAAAAATAACATAAAAATACTACAGACATTTGATACTCATCAATCGTCATCAGGTGCTAATGTGTAGAGCATTAGAATTTTTTCGAGTTTTTAAAATATCTCCACCAGAATTCTCTCTCGGTGCGCCCTTACCACAACATATAGCAAATCAACGATCTATTCATAATTATTTTCAGAGGGCAGGGGAATCTAAGTCTTTTTATCTAAAATTCATGACATTATCAGACTATCTTAATTTAACTTATAATTTGTTTAATATTTAAAGGCATCTTAGATCTTTGATAATATCAAAGTTGATTAACCATTGGTTTCTCATAATAATTCTCTTAGCACTAATGTTCATTTAACTCATGTCAAGATATCCTTGCCCAAATAGATTTTTATTATCAAGGCATTTAAGTGATATTCGTTCAATTTCATCAAAACAAAAGTTCAAATGATTTAGGAGTCTATATGAAACTGTCAAAATCTAGCTATGCAAATACATTGATTTTGAAAAATATACCAAAATTGTTAAATGATAAGCAATGTATGATAACAAGCCAACACTAAACAAATGATTCAATAAAAATGTATTAATTAAAAGGAATATTTGCATGCATACAACTAAATTTTTAAGTATTGACACATCTAACACCTAGACTTCAATTTTTTACATCTATGTCACTCTAACTATGCATGAAAATTTATGTTTCATTAATACAATAGTTATTTTGATGTGATACTAAAAATTTGAGTGAAATGTACGTATAAATCAAATAGCTTGTAGCGCTTTCCCGCGCGGACCCCAGCGGTTCTAGTGGTTCCTCCTAACCTGCTATTTCCGTCTCACAGCATGCGACCTCTCAAGTTTCCATCACTGTCGCTGTCCGCCTCGAAGGTGTTTGATCAAAGGCCAAAACAACCACCAACACATTTTCTCTGTTCCTTCTACTTCCATCCTTTCATTGGCTGGCGACGTGCAAAAGAATCAATGCCGTGCTCTATCTCTCTCTCTCTCCCCCCACGTGTTCCACTCTTCATCCTTTCTAATAAATTACGTCGAAGAAGAAAGAACCGTCTTAGAGAAGATCATGCCATAATCACCGCAGTTAATTCTCTTCCGGCATCTACTCGTCTGTTATAACTGAACAATGATTACCTCAAATTTCGAAGAGGTTTGGAAATGTTAATGTATTTTGATGACTTTTCATTTTCCAACTATAATTCCATAAATATTCCGTAATGACATCGAAAAAATCAGATCTTTATTCTCCTATTCAACGCCTATAAACTCCTCTCCGTCCCTCACTTCCCTCAGTTGACCACCAAGACAAAAGGAGCCAATGACTGCTTCCTCTTTCTCTACTATATTGGCGCTTTTTGCCGCAGTACATGGATTGGCTGCAGCTGCGGCGGCAGTAACCACCACTTTGCCGCAACAGCAGAAGCTTGACCAGATCGATCGTCTCCCCGGACAGCCCACTGTGGAGTTCAACCAGTACTCGGGATATGTAACCGTAAACGCGAACGCCGGCCGAGCGCTCTTCTACTGGTTTGTTGAGGCTCCGGTTGCATTACAGCCTGCCCCGCTCGTTCTGTGGCTGAACGGCGGTCCGGGCTGTTCTTCCATCGCGTATGGCGCGTCCGAGGAGCTGGGTCCTTTCCACATCCACCCCGATGGCAGGACTCTGTTCCTTAACCCCTATGCGTGGAACAATGGTTTGTCTTAGAGAAGAGATCTGCTCAGATTTGACTTGAATCGATTTGCTTTGTCTTAAAAATTTCATCTTTATTAAATTTTATTGCTGATGGCAGTGGCTAACATTCTGTTTCTGGAGTCACCGGCGGGGGTAGGCTTCTCCTATTCCAATAGAACCTCGGATCTCTACACGGCTGGAGACCAGCGGACAGGTTGTTTGTGTTTCAAATTCGGCCTTGAAATTTTGCCATTTGAGAATATTCTGGAATCCATTTCCCTCCTTTCTAAAAGTTCTTCCTTTGATGCAGCGGAGGATTCTTATACTTTCCTTGTGAGTTGGTTCGAAAGATTCCCCCAATACAAGTTCAGGGATTTTTATATAGCAGGGGAAAGCTATGCAGGTGAGTTGAAAAGGCTTCAGTCTTTTTCTTCTCCTGTCTACTTTTAAACAATCCATGAATTGTGCCTAGTCTCTTCATCGCTTTTCTTATCTTTCTCAGGTCACTATGTTCCTCAACTTTCTCAAATTGTCTACAGAAAGAACAAAGGAGTTCAGAGGCCTAGCATTAATTTTAAGGGTTTCATGGTATTTTTCAATTTAAACAGTGTTTCTTAACTTTGCTGCTTGATTGCAACATGAACTGTAATTTTTCCAAGTCCTTTATTAGTTATCATTATCTTAGGTGGGCAATGCTGTCACTGATGATTATAATGATTTTCTTGGAACTTTTGAGTATTGGTGGACTCATGGGCTGATATCAGATGCGACCTATAATGGCCTGAAGGTTGCTTGCATAACACAATCATCACAGCATCCATCCTCAGACTGCTTAAAGCTACAAGATGCTGCTGAAGATGAAATGGGAAACATTGATCCATACAGCATATACACTCCTAGTTGTAACATCTCCACTTCATCTCTCAGACAAAAATCACGAGGCCGCTATGTTAGTTCTCACTTCCCAGCAAATAAAATCTAAACTTTAACTGTTTCGTGATGAAACATTCAAATCTTTGAAAAAAAAAAACAACAATGTGGATACAATTTCATCTCTTTAGAAGAATGAATCTGTATATTTTGTTTGCATTTTTTTTTCTTGATTTCAGCCTTGGATGTCGAGGGCTTATGATCCTTGTACAGATAGATACGCTCAGGTGTATTACAACCACCCTGAAGTGCAGAGAGCACTCCATGCCAATGTCACTGGGTTGAATTATCCTTGGGAAGACTGCAGGTTTGATGTTCAAGACTTCAGTAATTTGAAATTTCTGTTGTAATTTGACCTTAATACAATTTCTTTTATTTTATTTGTATGCTATGATAGTGATATAGTGGGGCAGTATTGGGCTGATTCACCAAGATCCATGCTGCCTATATACAGAGAGCTCCTTGCAGCTGGCCTGCGGATTTGGGTTTTCAGGTATGAATGCTCACTTTTCATCAAGGTTGTCAAACACATTTTCCATAACTTAAATTGGTATGGATGATGGAGATTTGTATAGATTCTATGCTGTGATATGCAGTAATTATTAATTTTGCAAGTGAGTATCATACATTGTTGAAAACTAACTAATCATCATTAAGAAATACAAACCAACTAAATATTTTAATACTGGTTGGATTTTTAAATCAATGGAACTGAGGGACATGCCTTTTTTTTTAGTGTCGCGATATGATTGGATGACTGAAGTTTGCCTTCATAGACAGAATTTTGTTTTTCTTTAATGAAGATAAGAACTATTGTACTCTTTTTAGATCTACCTGGGCTTCTTTGATAAACATGGAAGCCTAAAATTTAATTTAATAGTATTAGAGTCGTGAGAAATGCCACATTGTCCTGCTTGTAGCCCTCCAAAAGTTTTGTTGTGTTGTTTCTGAGTTATCATAAAGAGATTTGGTGCAATGGAAATATGATATTAGTTCATGAAAACTTGAAATCTTCACGGAGTAAAGCATGAGGAATTATTCCAATTTGAATTATTAATCTAGATTCTTGTTTGTGCGCATGATTTCTACTTTTAAACTCATGTGTGGTTGTGTTTTCTCCATGGATTCTGAGTAGTTTTCTTTATCTTTTTCCTTAAAATGATAAGTGATTAAGTATTTGAAGGAAGTTGTGATAAGTATTATACTTCAATGTTGAAAGAAGTTGTGATGATTTAAAACCTCGTACTTCATCTACTTCTTTATTTGGTCAATTAAGATGTTAGAAACTGTTGTGAGAACATGTCAGATCTGAGATGGTATTGTCTCAGTCAATAAATGGTTAGAATCACATATTAATTTCATGTTCATGGAATGTAGTTCATGTGGTTGAGTGCAAATAAATAGGGAAATAAACTTTTCAAGGGTATAGAATTTGAGGACTTTAGAGTGACAAGCTAAAGCCCCCAATTTGATTTATAGTTTTTGGTTTTGATACGAGATGTTAGCCCCTAGGTTTGTTGGTTAAATCCAAATGCAAGGAATTATTTATTTCTACCATCTATAAATTGCTTGCGTTGGTTAAATCCAATTGGGGTTGCCGAGAAGGGGAAACTATTCATCTCTACCACCATTAATTTGCTTCTCTTGGTTAGAATCCAATTTCAGACAGGGTGAATGGGAGAGGATATGGGAGAAATGTATAAAAGGGAAGCGGCGGGCTACCCGAGAGGGAAGCGGCGGGCTACCCGAAGAGAGAGAGGTGCCAAAATACTCCCCAACCATTTTAGTCCCCGATTTTAAAAAGTGTCAAATTAGTCTCAAACTATTGGAAAAAAGGTTGAACTAGTACCACCGTTAAAAAAAAATATGAAATTGAAGTTCGGGGTATTAAAAAGAGGGGGTATTTTTGGAATTACATTTTTTAGGATGTCATGGGCCAAAATTCAAGAATAAAAGTGTTAGACATGCATCAAATAATTATGGTTATATAAACATAACCAACACGATTAAATTTGTTTAATTATAATTATTTTAAAAATATCAAATAATTAAAAATATCAATGATTGGTACCCCCTCCTTCAAAGAGCATTAATGTAATTTATTAATAATTTTTATAATTACAATAACTTTTGGTGACAAATACTATTGATGAAACTAAAGACGCTTTTATTTCATACTAGTGCTAGATGTGATTTTGTCTCTTAAACCAATTTCTTAGTCTAATATACATGCATGCATTTATGCATATATATCTCTGTGTGTGTGTGTGTGTGTGTATATGTGTCGCATACTTTGATCATTTGGTCGGGCATCTGCTTGTCAGTTTTAAATCTCCTCTGGTCTGGGGTTCGATTCTTCTCGACGGAGGGTGTGATACTTGAATTGTTAGACACATCGGGATGGTCGGGGCTCGTATAATAGCCTTAGGACATTCTTTTATATATATATATATATACCTATATATATATATATATATATATCGGAGGCTATGATACAAGCCCCTAACCACCCTTTTGTGCCTAACCACTCGATCCCGGCTGCAAGACAGGTGCTCTCAGGCGGAATCAAACCTGACTTACGCTAAGCTGCACTATCAATGAGTTATGGCGAGCGGCACACGTGCGTGTATATATATATATATATATATATATATATTTATTTATTTATTTATTTATTTATTTTTATATTTTAAAAAGGTTGATCGTCGATCAACCCCATAGTCTAACCGAGGGGTGGACTCCTTTCAGAAAGTGTGCAATTCAATCCTAAGCAGAGATCGAATCCTTGACCCGAGAGACTTACACCAAAGATCGCAACCAATGAGCCAGGCTAAGGCACACACATATGTGTGTGTGTGTGTCTATATATATATATATATCAATAACACCACTAAACGAACCATTATGTGCTAGTTAGGTTTAAATAACCAAAACTATTTAGAACATATCTAACATTTATATTCTTTAACTCTCTCTCTCTCTCTCTCTCTCTATATATATATATATATATATATATATATAATGTTGTTTGTATGAAAATTTAAGATTTCCACATAAACTGCATGGTAACCATGCAGCATTCTTATTACAAATTGACTGAGTTGAGGTCTATAGCAGAAATCTTCTACTTGTTTTAATAGTTTACATGCTTTATTGCATTTGTAATCTTCCATATGGCCTCTAACTTCAGCACTTATTGCTACAGTGGGGACACTGATTCAGTAGTACCATTGACAGCAACTAGATATTCAATCAATGCTCTGAACTTGACAACACTCACTGACTGGTATCCTTGGTATGATAATGGAAATGTAAGTCTAGAACTTTAGCTGCTCTGAGCCATTGCAATGTTTAATTCATGAATTATTTTCTGATCTCTCTATTTGTTTACGTTATCTTTGTTAGGTTGGTGGATGGAGCCAAGTCTACAAAGGCCTGAGCTTTGTGACCATCCGCGGCGCCGGTCATGAGGTCCCCCTCCACAAACCCCGCCAAGCTCTCATACTTTTTAGGCATTTCCTGAAGAACAAGCCCATGCCATCTGTGTAATTATCTTATAAGATTGACCATAGTATCACAAATTCACAATCTTAGATTAATTCACATATTTGGTAATTCTTCCATTGTTGCTGTTAATATTTGAATTCTTCCAGCTATACCAATCAAGGCTGGTAAGGAGCAATAAAGGTCTTTAAACTTTTTTATTCCTGATTTGATTTCATTCAAATTTGCGGGGCAAGTTAAAGGTTGTGAAACTGTATATTTATATTTTTATATGATTTAGAAGGATGATTTTTAAGACCTTTGTTCTTGATATGTATGTTATAACTACTCAATATATTTATATATCGAGATACTCCCAATATTTATATTCCTTTTCACCTGTCATTTACTAAATCCTATAGTGGGTATTTGTAGATTTTGTTGGCCTCAGTGTACGTTGTCATTTACTAAATTCTATAGGGGGTATTTGAAGATTTTGTTGGCCTCAGTATACGTACTCTTTGGTTTACTTGGATGGAAGGAAAGAAAAATGAGATTCTGGTAGCTTAATCGTTGATGATGATTTATGAGTACTTAGACATTGGTCTAGACATTTGGGATTTTTTTTCTCATATTATTTATCTCATCCATAGCCCAAGTATATTTTCAATGAGATAATGTATTGGTGTTTAGGGGAAAAAACAGATTAAACAGCCATGTTATATTCAGCTTGATTTTGTAAACATCTATGAGAGGACTCTGCAATTTGTATTATTATTCTTGCTTGTGTGATGGTCACCACAAATCTAAACGACCAAAAAAAAAAAAAAAAGAAACACATTAAAAATGCTAAATTTGTGACGTGAATTTTGTGAGTCCCGCTTATCATTTGAAGGTTTTGACCTTTAAAACAATCTTATAATAGATTTTATATTACAAGTTGTGTGCTATGATTTTATTGGATTTCTTCTAATTATTTCCTTTAAAGATAGATGTCTCACTTCTGTTTTGTGCAAATCATTCCACTTGTATTCTATTATTTGATATAGTGAATTCTCTTTCTCTGGCCTTGTTTTTCCCATCTTGAGTTTTCGCGTAAATTTTGTGTATTCTTTCTTTTGCTTATTTTATTATTTGTTGCTATCGATTAAATATTAAGTTCTAACAAGTTGTATCAGAGCCAATGTTGTTGATGTCAATAATATAGTATGACATCCCTCTTTTAGACCACAACACCAGATTTTCTCTTTGGGAGGTTAAAATGCATGCAGTCTTAGCGCATATGATGCATTTAGACGATATGCTACTTGGGTTCAAAAAAATGCCCTTATCATGGAAGATAGGGGAGAATAGTAAAGATCAAATGAATCTTTCTAAAATTCATCTCCATACATCAAATCAGATTTCACATGATGCTTTGATGGAGAAGACTAATGTTGGTTTGTGGCTCAAATTAGAACAATTCTGCATGACTAAAAGTTTCACCATGAAATTGTATTTGAAATAACATTTGCACTCTCATAGAATGACAAAATGTGCATCTGTTATAGATCACTCAACTATCTTTAAGAAAATCTTCTCTAATTTGGAAGTCGTACAAGTTAAGTATAATGAAGAAGATTTGGTATTAATCATTTCGTGTCCAGTGCCTTCATCATATACAATGTTTAGAGATGCCTTCTTTTATGGGCGAGGACTTTTTCTCTATATGAAGTATATGATGTTTTATTTTCTAAAGAGAATATAAAGCAACTTGTGGATGAACTCGTTGCTCAAAGAGAAGACCTTATCGTTTGAGGTAAAACTCATGAAAGAAGTTTTTATGCTTATATAAAGAGCATATCAAAATCTAGAAGAAAGGATAAGATCTGTGATTTTTAAAAGAAAAATGGGTATATAAAATCTGAATGTTAAAAATTACATAATAAAAATAAGAAAGTAAATATAATTTAGAAAGAAAAACGACATATCTTTCTGGTGAAGCCCTTGTTGTTGAAGAAGCTAATAATCATGGTGACTCCTAGTTGTCTCCGACGGGGAACCTTGTGATATTTGGGTTCTTGATTTAGCTTGCACTTTTCATATGTGTCCCAATCGGGATTGGTTTTCAACATATGAAATTACGTCAAAGGGCATCGTGGTAATGGGTAATAACGATAATCGGTGTTAGAACTACTAGAATCAATATTTTTTATGAATCCATTAGAGCATGTGGAGATGTGAAATATGACTCAGATCTGAATGAAAATCTAAATTCTTTAAGTACTTTGCTAAAGGGTACAAGTACTTTGGTGAAGTTGGAGTTTTAAAGCAGGGCAAGGAATCTCTTATTATGGTGACGGGACAGAAGAAGGCTGTTGGACTATATGTCTTGAAAGGCTCTACTATGGTAGGTGATGTAACAATTGCTACTTCTTTCATGTCAGTAGATGAAGCAACTTGACTTTGACTTCTGAGGCTTGGGCATATGAGTGAGAATGGGATGATTGAATTGAACAGAAGTGAACTTCTAACTGGTTAAAACATTACTAAATTGAATTTTTGTGAACATTATGTATTTAGAAAACAAAAAAGAGTTAAGTTCAATTCTAGCTTTCACAATATTAATAGAAAGTTAGATTATATACATTTTGCCATTTAGGGACCATCTATAGTAACATCTGAATGATGCATCAGATATGCTAATGTTCATCGATGATTGCTCCAGAAATATTTGTGTTTTTCTTGAAGTCGAGGAACGATGTTTTTACTATATATAAAAAATGAAAGATCATAATCGAGATGCATAATGAAAAACAAACAATTTTATCTACATTAATAATGGTTTGGAGTTTCATTCATGAGAATTTAATACTTTCTTCAAATCAGAATGAACTATGAGGGACTTAACAGTCCGACACACATCTCAGGAAAATGATGTGGCAAAGTGAATGAACATGAATATAATTGAGAAGGTTCATTGCATAATATCCATTGTTAAGCTACTTAAGACATTTTAGGTTGAAGTTCCCTCTGCGGTATGTCACTTGGTGAATCACTCTCCCTCCATTTACATTAACAAGAAAACTCTATAAGAGATTTGATCGTGTAAAGTTTCAGATTACTCTAATTTAAGATTTTTCTGTTATCCCACATATGCTTGTATTAATAATGGTAATTATAACCTAGATCTATAAATTGTGTATTTTTTTATTATAAAACTGAAGTTAGGGGTTATAAGTTATGGTGCTGAGAAACTAAGAAAATGTTTGTTAATAGATATATTATATACAACATATACTCTTGCATAGTGAGTTTCCCATATTACATATCACATACACTACAGAATCTAAAAATGTTGATCAGAAGAAAATTTCTACTAGACAAGTGGAGCTTTAGATTGGTACATGTATTTCCTGAGGCATAATTTTTTATTCAAATTCAGATAATCATCATGAGACTGTTTTTCTACCATCACAAAAACAACCATTGCAATATTCTACTTCCAAGAATAAAACAAGAAAAGAAACTAAGCCGCCTTAGAAGTATGGTGAATCTAATTTGACTGCTTATGTTCTAAATGTAGTTGAAGTTGTCGAGTGCGATGAAAAATTTTCTAGCTATAAAAAAGCTATGAATTCAATTAACTCTAATAAGTGAATGTTCGTTATGCAAAAGGAGATTCAATCCCTATAAAAAGGTGGAGCATGGGATTTGGTAAAATTACCTTTGTTGAACATGGGTGTTTAAGAAGAAAGATGATAAACCTGGATTTGAAGATACCTAATATAAGATTAGGCTTGCTACAAAGGGATTCAGTGAAATTCCATGTGAAGACTTTACAAATTTATTCTCTCCGGTAGTCAAACATAGCTTAGTTCAAGTTTTACTTAGTGTTGTGGCTAACCATGATAGTGAGCTTTAACAGTTAGATTTAAAGACTGCATTTTTTGCATTGAGAGCTTGAAGAAGAGATCTATATACATCATTTTGAGAGTTTCATAGTTACAGAAAAAGAAGACTATGTTTGTTTGTTGAAGAAATCTCTTTACAATTTGAAACAATCTTTTAGACGGTAGTATAAGAAATTTGACTCATTCATGCTCATGAGTTTAAGAGAAATAGTTATGATAATTGTGTTTTCATCAAGATAAATCATAAAGGATCATTTATCTGCTTCTACTTGCTCTTATATGCTGATAATATGTTGATAACCACTAAGAAAAAAAATATCAAAATGTTAAAAGCTCAACTTAGCTGTAAGTTCAGGATAAAAGATTTGGAAGTTGCAAAGAAAATACTTAGTATGAAGATTCAAAGAGATAGAAATGCAAGTAAATTATTTCTGAGTAAAAAAGGGTACATTGAAAAAGTTTTGCATATTCTTAATTTACAGAATGCCAAGCCTGTCAGTACTCCATTAGTTGCATTTCAGACCTTTATCAACTTTATGTTCTCAATTTAATGATGTGATTGAATATATGTCTTGAGCTTTATATTCCAATGTTGAAGGATCTCTTTTGTATGATATTGTATGTTCTTGTCCAGATTTATCATATGTAGGCAGTATAATTACTAGATATATGAGTAATCCAAGTAAAGAATATTGGAAAATAATTTAATGAATTCTCAACTATCTATTTGAAACAAAAGATGTTTAATTAAAATTTTGGAGGACTACATATCAAGTCATTGGCTATGTTGATTTAGATTTTTTTTTTAGATCTTGATTGAAGGAGACCACTTACAGGGTACATGTTTACTATTGGTGGTTGTGTGATTAGCTATAAGTTTACTTTACATACAATAATGACACCATCTACAATTGAAGTTGAGTACATGTCAATTACTGGAGTTTGCGAAGAAGCGCTTTGGCTACAAGATCTATTTGAAGAGCTTAGTGAAGATTTGAAAGTAACCACACTAATTTGTGATAATTATAGTGTTATTTATCTCTGCAAAGATCAAATGTTTTATGAAAGAACTCAACGTAATGGTTGTTCGTTATCACTTTATTTATGAACTTATCTCTTATGGTGATATTGTTGTGAGAAAGGTCGGTCCCCATGATAATTCTGTGGATAAAATGACTAGAATACTTCTAATAGCCAAGTTTGAGCATTTTTTAGACTTGGTTAGTATTCATTCCTGATCATTAGAGCTTTGTGGAAGAGCTGGAGAAAGTTTCTTCCAACTTTTTTTTCGAAATTCGCTTCAAGGTAGAGATCGTTATGTTTGTGACTCGAATTTTGTGAGTCTCGTTCATCGTCTCACAAGGAAATTATGATCATACGGATTGAGGCTTCAGAAGAAAACTGTGACCACACATATTGAAGATTT